AAGTGAAACAGGAAAAGAAAATTACCATTCACAAAAAATAAATAAAAAGGAAAAAGATTTTTAACGGAGAAGGAAGATTAAATACTAAAGAAATTCCAATGTCGCAACTTGTAGCAAATTTCAAGACGCTTATAGATTTGCTGACTAAGGACAAAAATATTAACATTATAGTATAGAGAACAAACTTCTTTAAATTAATGAGAGAACAGGCGTAAAACAAATGATAACAAGTTTCGTCTAATCTTTAGAATATGGTAACAGGTAGTTTGGCGACATTTTGGTAAGGCGATAAAGGTAACTAGGTAGGACTTTAGCAATAATCTGAGAACTACACAGTTCAAATCACAGATAATTTTGTCTCAGAGAAATGAGAGATCATGAGACATGTCATGTGACATTTTCCGGAAAATTCCGATCGTGATTTTAGCTAATAAGCACTTAGAAACAATTTCGCTGCTAACGTGCAGAATCGCCCACTTATTTGTTTGGCGCTTTTTACAACAGTAAGAAGAATTGGATTTTTGTCAATTTTCTTTGACTTTTTAAGTGACAACAGGTCGATGTGTACATAGATAAAGTGTGCGCAATGCCATTTTTGTGCAATTCTGGGATTTTTTTTTTAAGTGATAATAGGTCGACGTGTACATGGATACCGTGTATGTGCGATTCTTAAAAACGCGGGAAGCGGTTTGCGATTCTGCACTTTCTCCCAATTTCGCACCTAATCTTCGTCATGATTAAGCATTTATGTTCCATAAAAGTTCTAGTATGAACGTAATTTGACTAGCAGATAGCTGGAAAAAATGTTGAGTTGAAAAAAAAAAAAAAAAAAAAAAAAAAAAAAAAAAAAAAGCCTTTACTTCGTGAAAACAAAATGGCATCTAAAACAAAACTAGCAGGTTGCTGTAGCAGGGTTGGTCGCTAAAGTTTCGCCAAAAAATCGCCAAGTTACCATAATGTAAAGATTCACCCAAGTTTCCTTCTTAAAAACAAATTCTAATGTTTATTTTTATTCTGAACTGATTTGGTGTTGATACTGGAGCAAAACGAAAATCAAAACACAACGAGTTTTATAAACAGAATTTAAGTATTGCAAACAATGTCTACAAAATACCTATAACCATGAAAATGTAAATTACACACAGGTCTTTCCCTCAAGTCAAATAAAATTAATTTTAACTAATGTTGTTAACATGGAATTATACCTGAAAGGGAGTCAAAATCTGAAATATTTCTTGAAATTCAAAAAGAGTTATATACAGTACAAGTCAGAGATCTGGACTCTCATCGAAACTTCAGCATTTCTGAATTTGGGATTTTTCCAGATACAGTCAAAAGTCTTTAATCTGGACTCGTCGGGACTTCGGCGATTCCGGATTATCGATTTCTCCGGACTATAGATCATCAGTTGAAATCTGGTAAGATGGCATGCAGAAATTATAAAATTAAAAATATGAAACCGTAATTTATAAAATAATGAGCAATTATGATCTAAAGGGTATCAAAATTTACCAAAAAAGAAGCCTAATATTTATTTGTTTACTTTATTAAACATTTCTTTCAACGCGCGGATGCGTAAAGCATACCTTACGCATAGCCGAAATTAGAAAATTGCAACCAGAAAACTATTTGATTTGTATTCGTGATATTTATAATGACGAGGAATTTGATTTAAATCATATCAAAGACGGAGTACATCGAAATTAAATACTACATTTAGTAAGGAATTATAAGCCGAATAAAATAAAAACATCTGCCCTGAAGATAACGATAGTGTTGACAAATCAACTTCCAGTTCATTGCGCGCCGCGACGTCCCCCCCCCCAGCGCAGAGCAGCGTGAAATTGATAAACAGATTTCGGAACGGTTAGATAAACAAAGAATATGCCTTTATCCATTTTTTGTAGCAATTTGTTTTTTGTTTGATGGACATCGAAACATACTTTCGTTTTGTAGATCCTTTGGAAGTTCCAGCATCGGAAATTCTATTTAACATAATCGAAAGTTCAAGCTTACTTTCAGAAAATTGCTCTTACAGTCTGCAAAAAATAATAAGCCGGATCTAATTCGAAGATTAAGGAACAACGCAATCATCAACATAACTGAAATAGATAATTAGATAATTTTAGCTTATACCGTCCGTTATATATTAAACGCGCACGCGAAAACGTATTCTGCACTTGCGCAGACACATATGCGCAGTCGAAAATGTCTTGCGCGCACGAGTAAAACGCCTGTGCGCATGCGTCAATGCGGCGCATGCGCAGAAAGATTTTAGCTTTGAGGTCCGGATTATAGATCATTCCGGATTATGGGTGTCCGAATTAACGACTTTTGACTGTATTAATTAAAATGATACAATATTTTTATAACTGATAACAGTTTTATTGACTCCTTAAAGCTGCAAATTGATTTCACTAAATCTTTTATAATGTCTGCCTAACTAAAAGTATCATTCTTTATTGTTTTTAATTTTTTACCAAAATTTGTCTCATTAATAGTCAAAAAGTCTTTAATCCGGACTCGTCGGGACATCGGCGATTCCGGATTATCTTTTTTTCCGGATTATAGATCATCAGTTTAAATCTGGTAAGATGGCATGCAGAAATTATAAAATTAAAAATATGAAACCGTAATTTATAAATAATGAGCAATTATGATCTAAAGGGTATCAAAATTTACCAAAAAAGAAGCCTAATATTTATTTGTTTACTTTATTAAACATTTCTTTCAACAACGCGCGGATGCGTAAAGCATACCTTACGCATAGCCGAAATTAGAAAATTGCAACCAGAAAACTATTTGATTTGTATTCGTGATATTTATAATGACGAGGAATTTGATTTAAATCATATCGAAGACGGAGTACATCGAAATTAAATACTACATTTAGTAAGGAATTATAAGCCGAATAAAATAAAAACATCTGCCCTGAAGATAACGATAGTGTTGACAAATCAACTTCCAGTTCATTGCGCGCCGCGACGTCCCCCCCCCAGCGCAGAGCAGCGTGAAATTGATAAACAGATTTCGGAACGGTTAGATAAACAAAGAATATGCCTTTATCCATTTTTTGTAGCAATTTGTTTTTTGTTTGATGGACATCGAAACATACTTTCGTTTTGTAGATCCTTTGGAAGTTCCAGCATCGGAAATTCTATTTGACATAATCGAAAGTTCAAGCTTACTTTCAGAAAATTGCTCTTACAGTCTGCAAAAAATAATAAGCCGGATCTAATTCGAAGATTAAGGAACAACGCAATCATCAACATAACTGAAATAGATAATTAGATAATTTTAGCTTATACCGTCCGTTATATATTAAACGCGCACGCGAAAACGTATTCTGCACTTGCGCAGACACATATGCGCAGTCGAAAATGTCTTGCGCGCACAAGTAAAACGCCTGTGCGCATGCGTCAATGCGGCGCATGCGCAGAAAGATTTTAGCTTTGAGGTCCGGATTATAGATCATTCCGGATTATGGGTGTCCGAATTAACGACTTTTGACTGTATTAGATTATCCGTTTAAAGCTTATAAGATGGCATATAGAAATTATAAAAATTAAAAGTATGAAATTGTGATTTATGAAATAATGAATCATTTCTGATCTAAAGGGTAACAAAATTTGCAAAAAAAAAAAAAGCTCAACATTTGTTTATTTTATTAAACATTTCTTTCAATGTAAGTTGTTCAAGTTTTTTTTCCCCTAATATATATAAATATATATCCTTTTTAATTCTGTAGACAGACATAATTTCTTATTCAGTTACTAAGTTTCATTATTCAAGTCTTGTAATTGCAGTGTCGAGAATTTCCACTAACTTGTCAATCGAAAATTTTTTCATTCTCAATAACCTCTCTGGTACTTTCTTCACTATCAGTAGTGGTTTCAGTAGTAGTGGTATTCTGCAGATAGCTCTTTTAAAAGATGTTTAAGATCCTGTTTTTTAAACCTTTCAAGATGACTGCTGATGAAAATTACCTGTGTGTATAATGATATGGTATGTACGATTTCAAAGCCTGAAGCTTCCAGATTTGAGAAAATATAAAATGCAGATTTCTGGGTATATCCAAATTAAAATCACCCCTGGTATTACTCATAAATGCCACCCTAATAATTTTGTTGGAAACATTAGATCCAAGGGCACAGATTTATAAGTCTCCAAGCCATGTTCTCCTAATCTCTCAAGAGAACTTTGAGCTCAACAGTATTTAGAAACCTCCATGCCACAAAGGACAAGCCAGCTCTCCTACCATGTCAACAATGTGGTAAAATTCTTTAAATGGCTCATATAATTTTAAATATTATATAATTTTTATGGATCTTTATCTTTTATTACACTCATAGTCTTTCTTTTCCCCCATCTTAAATTCAACAGTTTTTAAAGTTTCCCTTTTTATGAATGCCCATTTTCAATGAAGAATTAGCAATGTTTAAGAGCATTTTTTTTAAATTTATGAATAGACAATTACATTTATCTTTATATTAAACACTACAAATATCAATTCATCTATAGCAAAAATATTAAATGCAATAAATATGCTATTAAAACATTGCTAAGTTTTTCAGATATTAGTCAGTATATAGTTAAGTGTCGATTTCTAAAGTAGTTAAAAAAATTCTAAATCATCATATTATATAAGTATTCAAAGCAAAATTGTGACTCTAAAACAAAGTTTTGAGTTAAATTTTCTATGTATAAATTTAAATGCAAGCAGTTATTATTTAACTCATTATTTATACTTTAGTAAATATACACTAATATGAAAACACATCTGTATTCAAAAGATTTTTTTTTTCTTTTGCTTCTTTTTTAAAACGTTTTCAAAAAATTAAATTTTTTTTAATTTACTTAATAAGAAAAATATTTTTTCTTTAACACAGATTATTGCTTCTTGAGATTGTTTGTAAAAAATTAAAATTTACTTAACAAGAAAAAGCTCAACACACTTTTCAGAGAATTTAAAAAGAAAAACACATTTTGAAATTAATTACCTTTAATAAGTACTTGAAATTTCGCTTCAGTTCCAGGATGACGCGGAGGTGCATGTTTATTAGATTCCAAAACATTTTCTGCTCTTTCTATTACATTATAATTTCTAAATATTCTCTTCCCGCGACCAACTATGAACTTCCACAACATGCGTATGGCCATGTGGAACGCACGTCTTTACAGTATAAACAAAATCACTTGCTGACGGTTTCGTAGTCGAACACACACTGTGCGCTGCCGCTGAATTGGGACCATTCCATTGGTTTAGAATGAAATAGCGCCCTCTAGTAGCAAAAAGTAATGCATTTAATATTTATTTGCTGCAACTTAAAATTGTATAAAGGATACCATTCGTTTTCCTATTTGCCAACAAAGTTAAAAAGAATAATCTTAACCGATTTTCTTTGCCACATTTAATATAAACTTTACTTACAGGACTAAATTCTAAATAGATGTAAGCAGCTTTGGAACCGCAAAACTCGTGTTTTATTCCGCCATGATTTTTTTTTTTTCAATTATTATCAATATTTACCATAATAAATAGTTAATTATAAAATTTCGAGAAAGTATTAGTAACATAAACTTAAAAAATGTTGATTAACTTCTAGAAATAACATTCTAATTATATTGAAAGCTAAAATAATGAATTTTATTTTGTTTCAGGTTTTTCAAAGGTATATTTAAATGTGCAATCTGAAGGTCATTTAATTTTATATAGTTATTATTAATCGTAAAAGACAATTTTTTTTAATTTTGAAAGTTATAAATGAGACGAGAAATATCATCAAATCATTCGTTATTCTTGTAAACTGGTTTAACAAATATTTTACTTGTTCGCTCTATTTTTAATTAGTGTACTGTTATGAAAAAAAATGTCAAAATTGAACAAAGCGAAACATTAAAAAACATTATAATGTGTATAAGTGTAATGCAGTTGCATGTTTACATGTTTTAGTAGATTTATTTCGTGTATAACTAACTTTATGTATTCAATGAATGTGTATTATGATATCTTTAAGCATTCTAAATCTAAGAAATCGGACTTCTTCGAACGATTTATAAATAATAATGATAAAATCATACACAGTAATGAAACAGCGAATTATGTCGTGTTTTAAATAAATAGAACTATATTAGATAGTTTTTTAATGTATTTTTAATCGTAGAATAGAATACTAACACAGATTTTCTACTAAAAAATATTAAGAAAGTTTGTTTTTAAAACAAAATATTAAATATATTCATAACATATATGGAAGTTGATATACCTTCAAAAAAGTTGTATAAAATACATTATATGTGGTTTAACATTTTGGTTACTTGGTATTTTGGTTTCACGTGTATCATTGAAATTCTGTAGCTACTGTTGTCTGTCATACAGGTAGCAAATATTTATTGTCAATTTGTATCCATGAAGAGTAATATTTTCAAGTAGATTGCTTAATAAATTGTACTATTTTTCTTGTTCTTCGGCATCATTCCTTATACTCCAATAATTAGCTTCTCTTGCTAAGTTTTTTTTTTTTTTTTTTTTTTTTTTTTTTTTTTAAGGAGAATGGAGGTTGGTATTTTTCTGCTAACCAGCAAGCTGTAAAACCACTACTGACTCCCAAAGTTTGGAATTTGCTCCATATTTAATATTGCATGTAGAGGTATAACATTTGTTTAATTTTTTCCCCTGCATATTATTTTTGTGCATAAAGAAGTGTATAACATAATCCTGATTTATAAGGTAATGATTGGTTTTAAAGGATTCGAAAATAATTATGGATTTAATGTATTACAACACTAGATTTAACATATTACAAGACGCTGTTAGTTCAATTAACTACATTAAATGCAACAGCCGTCTCTTTTCAATACTTTGCAATGAGATGGGCTCAACATATGAGAGATTACTGTTACACACCGAAGTCAGATGGCTTTCATGTGGGAAAATACTGACGGATATTTGATTTGAGAAATGAAGTGTACATGTTTTTAATCGAAAAGAAACCTAGATTGGCAAGTTATTATATCAATGAAGTTTGGCTAGGGAAGCTGAGCTATTTAGTTGATATTTTCGAAAAACTTATGACTTAAATTTGAGCTTGCAGGGTGAGAATTCAATTATCATAACTTCAGCCAGTAAAATTCAAGCTTTTAAGAATAAGCTTAGTCTCTGGCAAACTGAACTGAATAAAAATAACACCGACATGTTCCCTTGCTTAAACGATTTTATCAAGGAAAATAATATAGATATATTTACATTTAAAAACATCATTTCCAATCACTTAATATTACTTTCATTTTTAAGTCTGTACTGCACGGCTTTTCTAACGGTTTATACTCATCAATAAGAGTGGATACAGTATTGCGTAATCCTTCATCTTTAATATGCCATAAATCTCTTTCACTGTCTGCCTCAATGGCTGCAGAAATAAAAGACAAAAAATTCCTTTCCGAAGAGACGGAATCATTTTCATATTGTGTAATCATCACCTGGTCACAACAGATCATTTTTAGACAGGAAGGGGGGGAGAAATACAGTCTGTTATCAAGTCATAAACCATCGCTGCTTCTATCTCTTTTTGTTTTTTGCTTTTGCATGAAGAAAAAATAAACTTAGCCATTTCCGCTTTAACCACGTAACCAAACGAACTTTTGAGCTCTACACAACCATTTGATAATTTATTCGGAAAAAGATATTTCTTTATAACTATCAATTCACTTCCAGAATCTATTAAACATTTTACTTTCTTACCATCAATCAACAGTTCAATAAATTCTAACTTATTTCTAGCTGCATTATCCGATTCGATCTCTAACCCAGATACCTTTTTTGGAGACAAATTCTCCTCCTTTGCTAACCGCTTGGGACAATTTCTCGCAAAGTGAAATAATTCCCCTTTACTCCCACATACGTAGCAAATACGTTCTGGTTTACTACTATTCTGATTTACAAGCTTCCCTGAATCCTTGAAATTGCTCTGAGCTTTCCTAAGATTGTTTTTGGAAAAATTAAGCTTTTTATTTTCTGGACTTTCGATTCGTGTGTTACTGGTATCAACTGAAGATTTACCCGTGGATGAATAAAATAAATCACATTCTCTTCCCAATTGATTAGGTGGGTACCAACTTTGACCCTCCCGAACACTAATATGTTCCTTTGTTTTAGAATCTAGAGTTTCATACAACTTATACTATAAGATCACACAATTTCTTAAAGTCATCTACCTCTCTTAACTTGCAATAATAATTGAAAGTTGCACTGAGTCGAGATGCGAACTGAACATGTGATTCAGATGAATGTCTCTGCGCATTTTTAAAATTGCTCAAACATTCACGTGGTGTTGGCTGAAATTCTTTCAAGATTAGAGTTTCCTCTATCACTTGGTAATGATTGTGATTTTAAACTTTCTAACTCAATCTGCTTCTCAATTTGAGCTAATTTAAGACGTTCGATCTCTAAAAGATAGTGTTCATTACTTGTTTTAGGCGTCCGATCCTCTGCGATCAATTTGACGACGCCACGAACAAATTCAATATTCGTTTTGAAAATATCAGAATTTTCGATAATTTTTCTAATGTCAGCTTTTTTAGCATTTTCTGGAACAGTCTGTCCAATCTGTTCCACAAGTACTATTAAATCACTTTTCTTTAAATTATTTAAGAAACTCATTTTAAAAACGAAACAAAAGTATCACTATCTTCAAGAAAGAAATAAAGCAAAGTTTTCACAGTACCTTCTCTGATGTATCCAAGTATGAAGTATCCAAATATCGCGGTCAGAGCCCCCAGATTTTCTGTAGTGGGGGAGTTGAAGATGCTAGATAACAATTCCAACATTGTTTTCCACCCCACAGAACATTTAATAAAGATAAACAGAAGAAGGTACAAATTAGATTGAATACAAGTGCCGTTTGATACAAACAGGATTCTGTATAGCTTTTGCCAATCTTATCGCTTAACCGATTAGTGCCTACTCGCACTTGCTGATGTATTATACAGTTCAATTTACCACCTTCGCATGGGGAACTACAGTTCCTTATTCTACACCTTTACGTGTAGACAAACATCTCACCACCTTCACGTGGGATAGCAGAAGAAAGTCTCTGTCATACTTCCCTTTCACCTCGCTGCTGGCGCATCAGAGAGGCCCTCTGGTGGTTGTTTCGCACTTACGGATACTACATGTATGCTTTCCCACTCCTTGATAAGAACTTCTGGCAGAGCTGATTTTGCTAAAGGATATAACATTGCTTCATATTTTTCAGACGTTACCCCTAAAGTCTCTAATGCTCGCAGCTGAGTCTCCAATTTATCATAAAGAATCCGCAAAGTAAAAATTTTGCCACTTTTTGCTTGTGTTAAAACTAGATTTAAAAGTTTAGAACATAAATTTGAATTAATAGTTCATCTTTAGCAAAACGAGATTTCAGCTGTTCAAAAGCATTATAATAATAGTTTTCGCCAAATGGTGGAAAACTTGTTACTAAATCTTTAGCCGATGAACCTTCTTCAGTTGCTTGTAAAAGATACTGAAATTTATCATCTGCATCAATGCTATTACAGTCAAAAGTCGTTAATTCGGACACCCATAATCCGGACCTCAAAGCTAAAAACTTTCTGCGCATGCGCCGCTTTGACGCATGCGCATAGGCATTTAAGCGTGCGTGTAAGACCTTTACGACTGGGCATTTGCATGTGCACAAGCGCAGAATACGTTTTCGCTGCACGTTTAATGTATAACGAACGGTATAAGCTAAAATTATCTAATTGTCTATTTCAGTTAATGTTGATGATTGCGTTGTTCCTTAATCTTTGAATTGGATCCTGACTTATTATTTTTTGCAGACTGCTAAGAGCAATTTTATAAAAGTAAGCTTAGAACTTTCAATTATGTCAAATAGAATTTCCGATGCTGGAGCTCCCAAGGATCTACGAAAACGGAAAGCATATTTCGATGTCCATCAAATAAAAAGTGGAAATTGCTCCAAAAAATGGATAAAGGCATATCCTTTGTTTATCTAACCATTCCGTAATCTGTTTATCAATTTCACGCTGCTCTGCCCTGGGGGGAGGGGGGGAACGTGGCAGCATGCGCAATGAACTGGAAGTTGATCTGTTCAACACTATCGTTATCTTCAGGGC